TTACCACTTGGAGGATCTAGAGGGAAGAGCAATACCCTGGCCATGGAATGCGGCCAACCTGAAACTGTATTATTTCTAAGCTTTTGCTTTCTTTTCTTGTGCAAAGGAATTTTTTGGCTTGCACTTCAGAATGTAATTCTTTTTGTCAATATATAGAAGTAATTTTGCTTTAGCACTTGGACTGTTGTTTTAATGTAAAAACCGAGATGTTTTACTCCGTCTTGAAGAGTTGGTGTTTTGTCCAACTTAGGCCACCCCAACCGAGATGATTTACTCCGGTTGGAAAGGTTGGTGATTTGTTCAAAATTAGTTATTCCCGACCGAGATGGTTTATTCCGGTTGAAGAAGTTGGTATTTTGTTCAACTTAATTATTTCTAGCCGAGATGATCTACTCCGGCTAAAAGGCGTTGCTGTTTTGTTCGACGTAGTTAACCCAACCGAGATGAGTTACTCCGGTTGGAAGAGCTGGTGTTTTGCCCAACTTAGGATTCCCAACCAAGATGATTTACTCCGGTTGGAAGAGTTGGTGTTTTGTCCAACTTAGGATTCCCAACCGAGTTGATTTATTCCGGTTGAAAAAGTTGGTGAGTTCAACTTGGGTGTTATGTTCAATTTTACAATTTATATCGAGATGTTTTGCTGAAAAAGGAATTGATGACGATCGTCCCAACACTTGATGAAATCAAAGCTTTTCATTGATAAAAAGTTAATACAAAAGGTGGGGAACTTAGCCCGGTTACATTTACAGAAACAGAAAAAAGAAACCTAAGCTAGGGGGAGAGATCAGGGAATTCCTCATCAGCCTCCAGGTTGACCGTGGCAGTTGGGTCCTGGACACCGGTCCCAGTCTGGCCGGCTTGCTCCTGTTCGGTTTGGTCCTCTCTTTCGGCGTCGGCCTCGCCCTCTTCTTCAAGTCCTTCCTCGGCCTCAGCTTGCAGCGCGCTGAAGACGTCATTAGCATATGGAATGAGGTAGGTCGGTAAGAAGACAGCCGGTAGAGAGGCAAACACGTCAGTGTTAGGACCCTGACCGAGCTGTTGACAGGCAGCCTTCCATCCAGCCTTGAAGTAAATGTCCTGGGTGGCGAAGACTTGTTTCTTGTAGTTTTCCTCGGCTTCGTTGAAGCCGGCGTTATTGGCGTCCTCGCAGTCTTTTTTCCTGGACTTCTTAAGTGCGTCAAGCTCGGCCTGGAGCCCGTCTTTCTCTTTCTCGGCTACTTCAAGTTGGTCGAGCAGCCTGTTATTGTCGGAATTGGCGGCTTCGAGCGATGACTTTGCTCGGCCAAGCTCGGTTTGGAGGCTTTCGACTTGGCTGGCGGTATCACTCGCTTTCTGCCAAAGTCTGTGGATGCCCTCCATGACCAAGTGCTGCTTTTGGATGGCTTGCAAAATGAGAATTTGATCAGAGAAGAAACCGTGCAAACACTTGTGAAAATTGAAGCAGAAGATTGAAATTCTTACCCTGGTCATGGACTTCACGGCGGATTTGACCAGCCGGGTGTCAGGAACGTGGTCGCTGCCAACCACGTCGCTGGGCAGCAGCAGAGCCTTTGAGAGGTTGAAGGCAAGCAAGTGCTCCTTGTCGCCTTTGACCGAAGCATTTGCCGGGATCTCTTTGCCCCAGTGCTTCAGCTGCGGCCGCCATGCTGGGATGGGGCTGACCGTGACAGCAGGTTGCTCGGTTGTTAGTTCGGCGACGAGCTCGGCAGAGGGATCTGCCCGTGGTCTTTTGCCAGCCCGACGTGTTTCTTTGCTAGACTGCCCAGCGGCTGGAGAAGCTAAGGCGACCACGGCGGCACTTGATTGACCGGCAGCCGGGGAGCGGGCGACGACGCTCGGTATCTCGGCCGAGGTTGCGGTGAGCAGGTTTTTGATTCGGCTTTGTTTGGCCATCTCTTGTTCTTCTGTCAATCGGATTAGTGGGACGTCTGGCAAAGTTGGATCTGGAGGAGGTGATGGAGCACGGAGGAAGTCTGTAACTTTACTCCGGCGGGGAGCGGAGTATCTGTAGGTGGGAGTGTAGCCGAGCAGCTCGTTGCAATCACGGTGGCGATGGCAGAGCACGGTCCGTATTGCCTCTACGTTGGGAAATTGATAGTTGGTTTGCAAGGCTTGGATTGCTGTAAAAGAAACAGGATAACCGGTTAATTACAGAATAAAGAGGTAAGCTGACCAAGCAAGTTTGAGTGGCTTACATGAAGAACCGAAGTTCTTGCTTATAAACCAGCCCGGTACCTCGGCTGTTTCGTAATTGCCCGACACCCAGAAAAAATTATCGTCGTGCAAATCTTTATTCGGGTGCCGGTTACAATTTTCTCCTTGCCCGGTCTGATTTTCAAGTAATAGGCTAGGCCGTCACCGGTGTGACCCATCGTGTATTGCCTCAGTATCTCGGCTAGACCTAAGTTGGTGCCTAGCCGATTGTTCAGTTCATGGACGCCGTTGATAATTCGATAAGTGTTGGTGGACACTTGTGTGGGTGCCAGCCCGGTGCGGCGGAGGAACTCAGTGATAAGTGGGTTTAGTAGGAAACGGAGGCCTTCTTCGACGATTGACAGCACGGTGAAAGGGCATTGTTCTGTTCTACCCCAAGGCGTGGTCTCTTCCTCTGCGAGCTCCAGGTGGACATCGGCCGGGATGCCGTACTCCTCCCTAAACGCAGCTAGGGCAGCCGGAGTATCAACAAGGAATCGGAATTTCCCCATTGACGACCGGCTAAATTAGCTCGGCTTTGGTTTGGCACTGTCAGGTGATTTGTGGCTGCTTGGTCTTTGGGAGCCTCAGGATTGGACAGTGGTCCCCTTAGACTCTGCAGGAAAAGGAGGGCAAGTGTAAGAAGGAGCGCGGTCGCGCAAAGCGAGCTTGACTTTAGCTCGGTCGTCCAGAGTGCCAAACCACCTTGGTCGTAGAGGCTGACAAGGAGCTCGGTCGCCCAAGCAGGCCAGATTTTAGCCCGGTTGAGCGACCAAGACCTTTGTTATCCCGGTTCTTGCTATGGTTATATCTAACAGGCTATTTGCTCGGTTGATTTGGTTTTTTTGGATCAAACGAAGACCTGCAGCCCGGTCCGCCCCAGTTCTTCGAAGTTCATCAGCGAAAATGAAGAACACCATGAACAGTGGGAGGTTTGGGACGATTTCTATAGCCTACGTCCTAAGAACTATGTTATATTACCCTAACGTGTGAAATATTTAAGAAAATAGCAACAATAAAGGAGTTGGAGGACTTACCAGTGAAGGGCAGGGACTAATCCTTCGAGCACGAAGAATGGTAGACGAGGCTTGTGGAAAGGTGCTTGAGCTCTGAAGCTTCGGATTGCAGAAAGACAGTAGGAGCGAAATGAGGAAGAGGGGGCTTGGATGTTTATAGAGGAAAAGAGACCGCCCAAATTCAAATTCTGGCAAAACGGCGGGTTGGCTGCTCGAGAACCAATGGCAGCCCGCCACGTGTCCCCATTTATGGCGACGTCAGAACTGAAGAGGCAGGTTGAAGAGTTGAGGAGCCAACCGGGCTACTTTCAAAGAAGAGGACGTCAGCCGAGGAGTATAACCGGGCAAGTTTGCAGACAGTAATGTTAACTAGCCCGGTCGCCATTTAGCATTCTGAAGACCGAAGAAATGTTATCCCGGTCGAAATGAGTAATCCTAGTCACGCTTTCGCGGACGGAATTAAGGGGCAATTGAGAGGGAGATTAATGATATAGAGTTATGCCGGATAGATTTGGGCCGGACAGATTTGGGCCGGGCAAGTGTTGGGCCGAGAATGTGTGGCCCAGTTTGGAAAGAAGTTGCTCGGTTAAGGCAACGTTTGGTTGGACCGAGCTACATGTTTGACAGAGGCGAAGCAAGTCAAGTTAAGTGACCGGCGCCCGGAAAGGCGTGGTCAGCCGAGGTACCTGTTTGCTCGGCTTTGTCGAGATGTTGCCTAGCCCAGTCCTTATTAAGCTTAGCTAGTGGAGTACTTGGACATGAAGCACAGCACGACCGTTGGCGGACAAGATGGTGCAGCTCGGCTGCCGAGCTCCCAATAGAGTGAGCGGGCAGTTGAGATTAGGTGACGCTCAGCAAGATTTGTGCTGATAGATGGGATAGCAGAGCCACGTGTCGAGGGACCATTGGGAGCAGGTTTGGGACGCAGAAAGGTATATAAGCATGTCTGCGCCCCCCATATGTAGGGGACGAACACTTGTTAAGGAACTCCTACACTCAAACACTCTCTCTCTCCTCTCCCTAAGGTGTGTGCTAATTAGATCGTCGGAGGGGTTTTCCGGCCACATACCGCCGGGTAGCTCACCCTCATTGTGCTTTCAGGTGATCGGACAAAAATGGAGCTAAGAAGAAACGAGTACGGGCTTGCTGAAATATTTGCTCCCCGCACACCCCCCAATATGGAAACTTTAGAAACAAAATATACCCCTCCCAATTCACGTAGTATGGCACATTCCAAAACCATAGAACTTTTTGCAAATAAACTAAAGAGGGCATAGCCGTCCCACCAATACGAAGCTACATTTGAAACGGGACTTCTTGGTTACAATTTACCATTACAAAGGACTTGCCAATCAAACATTTGGACCGCGGGGCCAACTGGTGCAACATTTTTCAAATCAAGACTTTTCAATAATTTCTCCTTACTTAAATTATAAATTATTTCCTGTGGTTCTAGAAATTATATTATGACCATAAAGTTTTTAATTTCACAACAAATAGATCATTTTATTAATAAATCATTGAGTTAATTAATAGTTTTAATAATGTTAAAATTTTATTTCAATTAATAATTCAGATAATTTTATTATTATATAGGTAAACAGTTAGAAATTTTATTTTTTCAATTAATTCTGTTAAATAAAAAATTCTGACAGAGAAGTATTTATAATTTTTCAAATCACAGGGAACAATTCGTATTTTAAACAAACTTCAAGAGGTATATTTGTAATTTATCCTAAAAATTATAACGTTCTAAAATTTTTAGTTTAAATTGAAACAATTAAAAAGTTAGGGGTTGATTTGTTACTAAGGTTATACATTACGATTTTTTTTTTTAATTTTCTCAAAAAATATTTACATGTAGGCTAGGCATCATAGGCTAGCTTTTGAAAGATTTACATTAACTAACTTTTGGGTAATAAAATACAATGTGTGTAAGCATATAGTTTACTTCAACATATCAATAATATCATTTCTGGAGCTGACAACAACTGGGGAAGTAGAGAGACCATTTTGCAGCTTTTGATCATCTGCTGAGGTCATCAATACATCACTCTTTCTAATACTCTCTTCGGATTCTGCAGATGATTTGCTGACAGAAGATCCAAAAATCTGCACTGTTAAGCTTCCACCTAACCATATTAAAACTCCATTAATATGATTCAGTACACAACTCTAGCACATGGAGGAGTAAATAAGCATCAAAAGAAAAACAACCTTGTTTGTTTCTCACAATAAATCAACCCTAGGAACGCATCAGGTTCCAAACACATAATAAACAGACGTGAGATAAAAAATATCTCTATCTATAGTTGCGATGTGAACATATATGTCACATCTGTGTGCATTGTGTGTTTAAAACTTTCTGCGTTCCTAGACTTTTCCATCAACCATTAAATATGATTTTTGTCCACGACTATGAGCCAAACCTAAGTTGTAATTTTCATTACAAAAACTACATATGTTTCCAAACAAGTGATTAGGAAGGAGAGTTCCTTTTTCTTTTCTTTTCTCTCCAAGTCCAAACAGGACTACAAAAGTTAACACACAAAAAGAATACACAAAATGTCAAGAAAAATTAAGAAATATATATACCTAGTATGAGAGCAGCCCCAATCCATCCAGCAACACCCCACCTTTCACCAAGGAGAAACCATGCAAAACCAGCACCCCACACTGGCTCCATCCCATAAATCACTGCTGTTTCCGTTGCCGAAACATCACGCATTGCAGCAATCTGTACACATAAATAAAAAAAACCTAATGATTAGGCAAGCTTTATTTGTCCAAATAGGATTTGTTGAAAGAGAATAAAACTAGTTTTTTAATATTTTTCTTTTCTTTTCTTCAGAAAATAGAATTTAGAAACAAAACCTAACAAAGTGCGTGAGAACTGAGAAACAATACCTCGGCCCATAGGCATAATCCAGTTGAGAATACACCAGTATAAAGCGCGGGTATCCATGGAAATACAACCATCCAATCCCACACCATGGCCAGAGATACTTTATTGTAATCATGAACACCGTCGAACCATCCTCCAATGAGATACCAGATTGCGGATAACATAGCAACAACACTAACCTAAATGAAATAACAAAAATTCTCATCATGATCTGCAATTGAATGGTTGGACAACTGCATAAAATGACTTGTAAAAGGCAGTTCATTCAGAGAAAAAATAATAGATAAAATAAACCTCATATCCAAGGAGGGCTAAGAAGTTCTCTTTCTTTGTGCTTCTTGATATATGTTCTGTTCTAAGCATGTGAATGCCAAAAAATATGGCACTTAAAAAGTTCAAAAGATCTCCAACCTGAAGAGAATACGATCAAAATGGTGAACATTCATCAAAATCAGCCATTGCCATTTCTAATAATTTTTTTTTTTTTTGGTACGAGGTATTATCCACATTTTAAGCAAGAAAAATAAAATTTGAAAGAAACAATTAAAGCAGAACTTACATTTGGAGGAGAACCACTGCACTCGAGCATTGCAACCCCAAGGACAGACATGAGAATACCAAACCAGGTGCGGGCAGGTACTATCGATCCTAACATGCTTTCAAGCAATGGAACCACAATTACCTGAGCAATTGAGCGGACTTAATAAAATTCATGTAAGGATCTGTTTTTATTTAAATTCAGAAAGTAAAACAATGAATAACATGTCATGATGCTAAATGAGATTAATTTCGTTAAGATGGTTTGGTGCGTTAACTAAATGATGCTATATATGAAGCGAATGAGCAACACTTGACCACAATATATATGCAGTCCTCTCTCTCTCCCTCAGAACAACTCCTCGGAAAAATACCAAAAAGTACAAAATTTTGGAGGATTGTTAGTTTGAGAAAATAGCAAAAAGTACATAGTTCTTTGATAATATTATTATTAATCCTTTCCATTGTATACTCTTCCTTTGTACCTAAAGCATCTAATAAATGCAGAAAAGATAAGCCATGGTAGATTAATTAACTGAAGTGCTAACCGTGAATAGTGAAATGAACGATGCTCGCCCAGCATCAGATGTAAGTAGTCCAAGTGCCTCAACAAGGTAGCCTAAGCTAACCCACAGTCCCAACTCCATCCCTGCATTGCGGGTTTGTACATCATTTCGTGCCCGGAAGACAAATGGAAAAAATGGGATGGCTGACATGGAAAATCGTACAGCGCAGAATGCGGCTGGATCCAGGAAAGCTTCAACCTCTTTCACCACTGGAATGTCACTGGCTAACAATATGAAACCACAAACAATTCTTAAGAACTGGACAGTAAGTAAGGGGCGGGTGGCATGTAAAATGACAAATTTGTGCGATGCAAAAGTATGAAGGAATAAATTCACCTCAGCACAAGAATTTAGCATGAAAATGTTCCCACAGTTTCACTGCCATAAGAGCATCTCCAATGGTAGTAGGCATTTTACCTATCTAAATATTACTATAAAGTATACATTTTATTTTGCCTGTCAACAACTTCATGTTTCTACCCCAACCATGCTCTTTATTTTAGCTATTCATCCAAATACTATTAACTTAATAGAATGCCACGTCAGCAACAAAGATGGAGGGAAATAATCTTAATGATTAAATACATTTTGCCTAGCCTTGAAGGCTAGCTACATGTAGCTAGTGAATGTGAGCTGAGCCAAAATGCCTAAGCATATGCCTAGTGCATTGGAGTTGAAAAAAGTGAGTCATATTAGGCATTTTGACTAACAAGCATCATATGCCTAGTGGGTTGGAGATGCTCTAAGTTCTCGATGTTGGGAATAAACCACGCACACAAACAATAGTAAGAAGAATAAATCACAAAGAAGAAACTACGACACACAACTTCACATGATTCGGCAAGATTGCCTATGTCCACGGCTCACACCAATTCTACTATATTGAAAGAAGAAAAGAGTAAAATGTGGATTCTGTGAAGACAACAATGCATTCTAGGGTTTACATCATCAAATTACATATAGTAATACCCTTAGCACAACCCCCGAACCCCACCTTAACCCAACACTAGATATGCCATACACATATGCCAGTTGGGTACACGACTGCATAGTGAAGTGTGCAATACTAATCGGCGTCCACAAGCTCAAACACTAGATACACCACACACATGCATACAAGTGAAACAAATTGGGTATGGCAGAAATGGTGGGAAATGTGAATAGTTGATCATTTGGATTGGGAATTGGGTATGTTTGAATGATAGACAAATTTACAAAGAATAGTTTGCAATAAAACCTTCTGTGTTAGATATGTTGGTTGAGTGCTCAATTCTGGAAAATCAAGTGCAATATAAGTTGTAATTCTTGGGCCAAGTGAATCTCACACATCAAAAAACGAAAAAAAGTGTTGAGATTTGTGTAGCTCTGTTTTCCCTAATGATGTGGTGTGCCCAAACATTAGAGCTTATATATAGCTAGGTAATGGTTTGTATAATTAAGAACAATAGTACATTAAGCTTCAATGGTAGCTTTAGAATATGAATTTGAGACAATCTACATAAATTTGGACCCCTTTTTCGTGTTCTTCAGTGGTGTAGACAAAATGAACAAAGCTTGTTGTAACAATTTGACTGAAATTGTAGAATTCAAGAATAAAAAGATATATATTAAATCGCATATTTTAAAGATTCATATGCATATATTTTCTATAAATAAAAACAACAAACAAAATAATAATTCCTCTCATTCAATAGAAAGCATAAGCTAAATTATTTTCTGATAATTTGCACCAAATTTGTATTGAAGTGCTTTATATATATATATATATATATACAATTGAATAGCTCAATCAAAGACAACCATCATTAAAAATCATCCCAGTATGTAACATAAGCAAAATTGAACGTAAAGTACCATAAACAATGGCGATGATGTTGAGCAAGATTATACTCCTCATCTTTCTGAACCTGATTGGAACACCCTTTTTTATCACAGTGATATCATTCTTCAATTCTTCCTTACAATTGACTGTGTCATTATGAAGAACAACTGGTAGAGTAGAATCATATTGATGGATTTTTGCATTTTTCAAAGATTTCTTGGGTAGTGTTTTTCTGAAGGAAATCGACTGAGAAGAAGAAGAAGAAGAAGAAGAAGAAGAGGGATCAATGGAAGAGAAAATGGTGAGGTGGGTTATATTTGTGTGTGGACAACTACAAGGATTGAAAGAAGATGAGATTGTGGAAGAAACAGAGTGACTGTGTCTCTTCAATGTTGATGTTGCTGATGGTGGTGAGGGTCTGTATGCCATGATTCTCTTAGAGAGAGATTGGAATTGGATGGACCAGCTTTCTCTCTCTTATTAACCTCTTTCTCTCAGTGTTTTTTTTTGGGTAAGTAATCTCTCTGTCTGTTGCTCACACATGTTTCATGTGTCAAAATGTTATTTTTGTTTACCGCCATAGTTGAAAAAAAAAAAATGATAAATTACAAACACAAGTTTACTTAAATTATAAATTATTTTTTATAGTTTTAAAAATTATATTTTATTTTTAAAATTTTTAATTTTATAATAAATAAGTCTTTTTATTAATAAATCATCAAATTAATTAATAATTTTTAATAATGTCAAATTTTAATTTTAATTAATAATTCAAATAATTTTATTATTATATAAGTGAATAGTTAGAAATTTTACTTTTTCAATTAATTTTTGTTAAATAAAAAATTCTAACAAGAAGGTATTTGTAATTTTTCAAATCACAAGGGACAATTCGTATTTTAAGCAAATCTCAAGGGATACATTTGTAATTTATCCCCAAAAAAAATGATTATCTAAAAATTAGAAATAAATATATATATTTTTTATTTTTATTTTGGGAGATTTATTAAAAAATCATTTTTTAAGTATTTATATTTTAATTAGTCCATAAGATATTTTTATATTTCAATAAGTCATATTATTTAGACATTTGATCTACCAAATCTTAATTCTCATATTTAAAGTATTTTATGAACATTTCTACCCTTACAAATATTTTTTAAATGGTTAGTAATTTGGTGATATAAATATTTATATTTTGCAATGTGAATATTCACATTGATGTGTGAATATTTACATTGACAGTGTGAACATTCACAATGGTATGTTAACATTCACACTAATGGTGTGAACATTTGCATTGACGGAGTGAACATTCACACCACGGAATATTCATACTGCAAATATAAATATTATTAGGGGTATTTTGGTAACTATGTCATCCATTGGACTTATTGGAATATAAGAAAATAATGTGGACTAAATGAAGTGGGAAAAAAAATATGAAAAAGTGTCCTTTTTATTTTTGGTTATCAATTTTTATTTTTAAAAAATTAGGAAAATGATTAAGGCTTACAAAAAAATTTTAGGAAATATTACAAATCAGTGAAAATCAATTAAAATAACTACAAATTTGTAAAAAAAAAATATTAATAATTAAAGTTATAAATTTTTCAATAATTTTGTAGTTATATTTCCAAAAGTACACTGGATTGTAGTATTACTGGTATGGTTATGCAAGAGAGATGGTCGATACATAAGGACGAATATGTTGATATATATGTGGGGTGGAATGGAGAAAAAAAAGAGAGAAATATTCAACGTGGACTTTTTGCATGGGACTCTTGAGAGTTTCTGTAGAATGATGGGTCCATTGCCCACATGTTTACAATGTGCAACATGCTGAAGAGGAAAGGGACAATTTTTTATTTTTTTTATTTTTAAAGTTTTGATTTAAAATGATGTAGTTTAGTGCAAATAGAAAGTAGTTTAGTATGTAATTTATGAGATGTTAATATCTTTATTCACATAACTTGGATTTGGATTTATTGACTTAATTATTAGTTTGGTCAATCGCTGATAATTTATTTGACTAATATTTTTTATTGACTTGAAAAGTTCTTATAGCTAAATTATAAAAACAAATTATACGATCACACACTACATTTGATTAAATGAAATAATTTGTTTTGAAATAACAAAGTTGATATAAGTCATTCCAAACAAAGGCATTTTTAGAATTTTATGACAAATATTTTGTTCCAAGACAAGTATTTCACCCTCTTAAAATAAAATAATTACACGTATTCACATATATAAAAAAAACACTCTTGAAATTAGTTATTGTGAATCAAAAAAATTTAAACCAAATGCAAAATTATTTAATCCATCTCTCATCTTGTCTGCAAATCAAACATAACCCAAGTCTAGTTCTTCATTCTTGGTAATAAGTTCTTGGTAATAAGCAGGACAAGAGAAAAGAAGCACATGTTAAAATATACTAAACCTTTCTTGGATTAGATAAGTTATGCACTTCCAAGTATACCAGTTTTGCTCAACATAGATGAAAAAAAATTAAAATGAAACAGCCATTTGATAGAAGGTCATTCTTCATCAGAGAAGAACAAAAAAAACTAATGCATTAAATTTTGAGGATCATTAGGTGTTCAACCCTAAAAAATAAAAATAAAAAAATTTGCATCCTTCACCACCAAGATCATCATAACATTTAGGAGACATAAATCTATTTATTTATCGCTGCGCGAAGCATACGAACAAGCAAATTAAGCGAACACCTTCAGTTCCCCGTACTAATACCACCATCATCATCATTATCATCATCCTCAAAATCACCATCATCCTCGGCCGTTGCATCCTGATATTGTTGATACTCCGCGACAAGATCATTCATATTACTTTCTGCCTCGGTAAACTCCATCTCATCCATTCCTTCCCCTGTATACCAATGCAAAAATGCCTTCCTCCTAAACATAGCAGTAAATTGCTCACTCACCCTCCTAAACATCTCTTGAATCGATGTCGAATTCCCAATGAATGTCGAGGCCATTGAAAGCCCTTTTGGTGGGATGTCACAAACGCTCGACTTCACATTGTTCGGTATCCACTCCACGAAATACGAAGAGTTTTTGTTTTGGACATTCGTGATTTGTTCGTCGACCTCTTTCGTGCTCATTTTGCCACGGAATAGCGCGGAGGCTGTGAGGTAGCGACCGTGGCGTGGATCAGCTGCACACATCATGTTTTTGGAGTCCCACATTTGTTGGGTTAGTTCTGGGACCGAGAGGGCTTGGTATTGCTGTGAGCCTCTTGAGGTCAGTGGTGCGAATCCCACCATAAAAAAGTGGAGTCGAGGGAATGGGATTAGATTTACGGCTAGTTTTCGGAGGTCAGAGTTGAGTTGGCCTGGGAATCGGAGACAGCAAGTCACCCCACTCATTGTTGCTGAAATCAGGTGGTTCAAGTCCCCAACTGCATCCACATAACAGAAGGAATGAATACATAAGTTAGATTTTTCAAGTCTTTAGGAATAGTACTACTACATGCATAGAAGGAACTAGATACAGAATATACAGATGTCAGATAAAAAATATACAGATGTTTCACATCTATACATTTTGTGTAAGTTCACAAATATAGATGAGAATATATTTTGTCTCACATCTGTGCATTCTTTGTCCGGTTCCTTGTGTACATGTAGATATTTTGCTTTAGGAATGGCTTGCAAATTACATGACAATTCAATTAGTCCAATGTATCTATATCCACTAAGAAACAATTGTGAATTGGTGACCAGCCTTCAATGGCTACAATTAGAGGTGGCAAACCAGTGCGATTGAGCGGATCACAAGAAGTTATGCATTAAGACAATTTATTCCAATTCACTTATTTAATAAACAGGTTTAATCAAATTGGATTGAATTGGATATGATTGCACAAATCAAAAATGGACACATTTACTTTATTGAATAGTCTGTCCAAGGGAGTGGGATGGTGGAGATCATTCCTTAATTGCTTGTTTTTTCTTACCCAAACTTAAATGGGTATTCATTTTCAACACATTTAAACCCAATTTTAATAAGGTTCTCGTTCTCGAAAATGCATACAAATGAAAATCTGTGAGCAAGAATCCCCATTTGAATGATTCAGACCTTACAAAGTTTTTATCTTTAAAAATTCAAGAAATCACATGGCCTTGATAAGATTTTGTAATGTCATCTAAGTAACATAAAGATAATGCATCCATATTTACCACATTTTATAGACAAATTTCAAACCATATGTATTTGTAAGTGAAATGTTGTTAATATACTTACAGCTAGGGGTGCTGAGCTTGAGAGTCCGAAAGCAGATATCGTAGAGTGCTTCATTGTCAAGTACCATACACTCATCAGCATTCTCCACCAGCTGATGAACAGAGAGTGTTGCATTGTAAGGCTCTACCACAGTGTCCGACACCTTCGGAGATGGGAAGACTGAGAAAGTAAGCATCATTCGATCCGGATATTCTTCCCTAATCTTGGAAATCAGCAGAGTTCCCATTCCAGATCCAGTTCCACCTCCAAGTGAATGACACACTTGAAACCCTGCCAATCTCAAACATAACAAAATGTTGTCTTTGGAAACAAATTTAATGCAAAAAAAAAAAAAAAAAAAAAAAAAAAAAAGACTTCTAATGACTTCTAGCTGTATCAATTTTATTGTTGAATTTTTCATACTTTGTCAATTGAATCCAATTGATAACAAAAATGCTAGAGGTCCCAAAAATTCTAGCAAAAGTTTTACCAAATGTCTCACATGGGTGTGGGACCCACATGGGACCCACATTGTGTGGGACCCACATGGGACCCACATTGTGTGGGTCTCACACCCATGTGAGACATTTGGTAAAACTTTTGGTAGAATATTTGGGGTCTCTAGCATTACTCATTGATAATGCTCCGTTAGAAATTAAATTGAAATTAAGAGGTAAAATAGTTCATTCATTCTTAAAGTGATTGAGGGATTGACGTTTAATTTGAAAGAATGTATACACTTCTAAATAGACCATTTTGCCGTTGATTTCTAATTTGTTAACATATGTAATCAATCAGAGTAAATTGACACATTTAAACAGAAGTAAAGAGCTAAATTATTACAAATGAAACTACAATGGCCAAATTGAGACAAGAGGTAAATTACAATGATCGTGAGAAAATGTTAATTTCATTTATGTTTCAAATCCCAAATTGGTTTAGGATATTTCAAATGCTGAGAAAATCATATCCAACATTATCATAAAATTAAGCACTGTGTACAGTTGGCTAGACAGAAATCAAACAAGATTACCTGACTTGATAAAACATTTTCTTATTTGTATTACTTGATTAGCAACAATAAATTCTTTTTCTCTCTATGTAATCTAAAACTAGTTAGAATGCTAATGAAAATACTGATTAGAAACTTTCATTAATCCTATATAGTACTTAAAGAATACAAAAAAGTTAAAGGTTGAATATGCAAAAAACACAAACCTTGCAAGCAGTCACAGTTTTCAGCTTCTTTCCTAACAACATCAAGGACTGAATCAATAAGCTCAGCACCTTCAGTGTAATGTCCCTTGGCCCAATTGTTCCCAGCCCCAGACTGCCCAAAAATAAAGTTATCGGGCCTAAAAATCTGCCCATATGGGCCAGTCCTAATGCTGTCCATAGTCCCGGGCTCAAGGTCCATAAGCACGGCCCGTGGCACGTACCGCCGACCACCATCGGTCTCATTGTAATACACATTAACCCTCTCTAGCTGTGGATCGGAGGTTCCAGCATACCGACCAGTTGGATCGATGCCGTGCTCATCACAAACAACTTCCCAAAACTTTGATCCGATTTGATTCCCACATTGCCCTCCTTGGATGTGAAGAATTTCTCGCATTTTGGATTGGAAAACAGTCCGGGCTTGGGGGCAAAATTGGAAAAGTGAAGTATCTTGTACCCTTTCTTTTCCTTGGAAAGGTCTGAATTTAGGGGAAAGGAGTGTGACAGTTATTTATACTACCATGTAGTGTGGCCTGCAATTGATCCAACGGTCGTGATTGAATTGATGGGTGTTGTGAAGTTACATAAATGCCCTTTGGAGTGCTTATGGATGGAGGGTGGAGGATTGGGTTGGGTTGAGATCCAACGGTGGAGAAGCGTCCGTCTAGTGTTGTCTATATATGAGGTGGTGGTATGTGTGGACCGTTTGCCACTTGTGCTGTTTGATTCGGACTCAGCCGGCACACATTATGGGACTGTTTTGATTTCACAAAAATGCACCTCGGTTTTTGGCATAATTTTTGAAATGCCATTATGCCAATTTCTTAGGCCATTCTATACCTTTGTCATAATTTTATTGACCTCTATTTTGCAATGATAAAGCGAATGAAATGTACATGTTAGGTATATATTGAAATAAATATACATATATCATTTTTTTATAATTTATACAGCTAACGAATTACTGATGAAAATATTTACATGTAATGTCAATTAAAATCTCAAAAGATACTAGTGCAATTATATCAAAAGTGTGAGAGTAATTGCATTTTTTTCAAACTTCAAGTGAGGTGAGCTGAGTATAATTTACACTTCATTTTATGTGTATGCTTCAATATACAATAGTTGAATTTGAATCATATCACTTTTTAAAATATTTTTGTATGCATGAGTTTTGAGTCTTTAGTATTACTGAATTAGTTTTGAGGATAAGATTTAAAATTTTGAGTTTGAGTCATCCTAAGAGGTCGCTCGAAATTTGACTAGTGGTCAATTTCAAAGTCCCGAACACGTAGTTATAAAATTTAACAAAATATAAAAATTCCTGAGGCCTTGGAATTATAAAATTTTTGTACACCCGATTATAAATTTTTTTTCTTGTTTGTTAATTTTTGGTACACCCAGTTATAGCAAAATGTAAAAACTCCAAGACACCTGGTTGTACACAATGTAAATTTTTATTTTTATTTTTTTATATACAATAGGTCTAAACTTATTCGAACACTCGATTATAAAAATTTAAAACAAAAATGTTAAAGGCGTTGATAAGTAGCCCATTCCAAGATTTTGTACGTAGTGTACAAAAACTCAGTGTCAAGAAATTATGTACTTTTGTTGTTTTGTAAAATAATTTTCAACAAGCCACAGCTTTAATACACACCAAATAATAGTTAACACTACTGTGGTATGCTCTGGCTAGTCCCATTTTAAAGGCTTTCGTTTTCTAATTTACCTAAAAAGGTAATGATGAAATTAAAGAAGACCAGACATGAAAATAAAGGAAAGCATTTAGAGAGAGAGTGAGGAATGTTGATGGGAAATTGGATTCATTTATGTTTACTAATTGAAACCTCCAAGTTTGAAATTTTGGGCTTTGTTTGAGTATAGATTTTTCACAGATTTGTTCAATGGACAGTATTATTATGATAGTTGTTGAGATTTTGAATTTGACTAGTTTAAGAATAGATCATGTTACACTAAGGTTGATTTGATGTACGAGGCCTTACTAGGCGTGATATTTGAATTTTAGTTTTATCATTATGAATGTAGCATTGATTACTCTCCTTTTAGTTGTAACCAAAGAAAAAAAATTATGGAGAGAGGCGTTTTATGATGCAGCCTCCACTGGTTCTTTTAAATTATTCATCTGATAGGATTCTATAGATTTCTATCTCTTAAATTCAAGCAATCAAATCATAACATACCACTACAAGAAAATACACTTTTGGCGACTAAAAAATTAGTCGCCAAAAGTACATATTTTAGTCGCCGAAAGTATTTCCCGACTAAATAATTTGGTCGTTGGATTTGTCGGCCATACATAGTCGCCGAAGGCATTAGCGACTAAAATTCATTTCGTCGCCATAAGTAGTACAAAATACCGACTACCATGTTAGTAGGCAAAAAAGAAGGTATTGGCGACGAAAACAGTCTTAGTCGCAGATAACAGACATTACCGACTAAACCGTTAGTCGCCCAAACCGTTCATTAAATATTTTAACTCAACTATTAGATACTAATGTTTTTGTCGCTAAAAAATACAATATCTACGGCGGCAATGTTTTTAGTCGCTAATAGTGCAACTTCAACGACTAATGTTTAGTCGTCCATGATTATTGTTATGTTTTGGCGACTAAAGATTTAGTCGCCAAAATTGGTTGGGGTTTTAGCTACTAAAATAGGTTGTCGCCATAGATGTTTTCGAGTTGTTTTGGCTACCAAAAATTTTGTCGCCAAAAGTCCTTTCAGCTTCAGCCATTACACATTTAGTCGCCATAACTATTTTCCAGTTTTTTTGACTACTAAATTATTAGTCGCCATAACTATTTTTATTCGTTTTTGCTACTAAAAATTTAGTCGCCAAAAGATTTTTCTTTTTAACTACAAATTGATTTATCACCAAAAGCGTCATTTTATATTTTTGTTTTGTTTGTTTAATTTTACTAAATTTCGTCCGAACCTGTATGTATCCACCGCAACCTGTAATACATATACAACCTGTATGTATCATCTACATGGTTCACTTAGAACCATAAAACAAAAATGAACACCTGCTATATATATTCCAATTACAAATAATAACATCATACATTCCAAATACGTTACCAAAATTATGTCCTCTATACACAACATTTTTACTATACTATGCATTGTAATGACCATTTGACAAGGTACAAATTACTATGGTAATATGTACCACGACAAAAGGTAATACAAGCTCCAAAAATATTATGTACCCCACCATAAATTATATGTACGATGCATCCAAATTCCACGGTTCATTAATTAATACAAGCTCCAAAAATACTTTGTACCCTGTCAAAAATTATATGTTCGATGCATCCACAGTCCACAGCAAAAAGTATAGGACGACAAAAAACTTCCCAACTTTCCCAGCCTGTGTATCTTCCGATAAAAAATTAGAAGATCCACATGTCAATGCCAAAAGCCATCTACACAACAAAAATTACACCCATTAGTTCCATTGTCACATACATGAGAAAACCTACAATAAAACCATCATATTATAATATTATTAACCCGTAATATCATTATTTAATAATAAAATATCAAGTAAGATGGGTAAATTTCACAATACAAATGTAACTATTAGATTTAATGCATCCAGTAACTACCACAGTTACGTAGTGAGGTTCACTCATCCAACTAAATACCTTATCATAAAATAATAATATGATAGGTTAATAATAATGTGATTTCATCGTTATATTAAAATTTTCCAACATAAAGGGTTTGTTCATTGAACAATAGTACAAACTCTCTCTTTCTCTCTGTCTCTAGTATTCTCAGAAAGGTGTCTCAGAGTTCTTGTTTACTCAACCTCTTCAAAAACCATTTTAGTCACCCAGATTTTCTGTCATAACCCAAAAAAATAAAGTTACAATGATTAAAAAAGCCACCACAGCCTTCATAGCTATAGCCACCTCTATCTCCTTCCTCTTCCTTTCATCCCCTCCAAAATCCTCCTATCATAACCTACTCCTATCCATATCAGACAATACCTCAAAATGGGAATGAATATCTCCGGCACTGTTGCACTAGCAAAATATGGACAGATATTTAGAGGGGACATTGTGGCGAATGCTTATGATGCAGGTGCTGTAGGGGTATTAATCTATATAGATAGGAAGGACTACGGGGGCGGGGGAGGTAGTGCAAAGTGGTTTCCTGATGACAAGTGGATGCCCCCAAGTGGAGTCCAGGTGGGATCAGTGTTTCGTGGGACTGGTGATCCTACCACACCCGGTTGGCCTAGTTCCCGGGCATGCGAGAGGCTATCAGATGATGAGGTGGAACAAAGAGATGATGTTCCACACATCCCTTCATTGCCAGTGTCCTGGGCGAATAGCGATGCAATCATGAGATCTATAGGTGGGCCCGTAGCCAGTGATGATTGGCAAGGAGGCATTGATGCACCAGTTTACAGAGTTGGACCAGGACCTGGAATTTTAGAGCTTAGTTATATGGTAAGTGTCCATAGTACTACATGGGCAGGTTAACCATTATCATAGGTAGATGGCTTTTGGCCATCGAAGCCCTCTTTTCGGCTCAGTTTATGGCGTTTTTCACGCTAACTCCCAACGTACACGTGGTAATTACGTCCCGTCTGTGCCCACAGGTCCTATTTGACATGAGGAAGCTACCCGTGCCATCCCCGTAGTGCTTTGGGGGCTGCTCTCAAATTTCGGCCCTCGAAGCCCTTTTTTCGGTTCAGTTTATGGCGTTTTTCACGCTAACTCCCAACGTACACGTGCTAATTACGTCCCGTCTGTCCCCACAGGTCCTATTTGACATGAGGAAGCTACCCGTGCCATCCCCGTAGTGCTTTGGGGGCTGCTCTCAAATTTCGGCCCTCGACGCCCTTTTTTCGGCTCAGTTTATGGCGTTTTTCACGCTAACTCCCAACGTACACGTGCTAATTACATTCCGTCTATCCCCACAGATCCTATTTGACATGAGGAAGCTACCCGTGCCATCCTCGGAGTGCTTTGGGGGCTGCTCTCAAATTGCGGCCCTCGAAGCCCTTTTTTCGGCTCAGTTTATGGCGTTTTTCACGTTAACTCCCAACGTACACGTGCTAATTACATCCCGTCTGTCCCGACAGGTCCTATTTGACATGAGGAAGCTACTCGTGCCATCCCCAGAGTGCTTTGGGGGCTGCTCTCAAATTTCGGCCCTCAAAGCCCTTTTTCCGGCTCAGTTTATGGCGTTTTTCACGCTAACTCCCAACGTACACGTGCTAATTACGTCCCGTCTGTCCCCACAGGTCCTATTTGACATGAGGAAGCTACCCGTGCCATCCCCGTAGTGCTTTGGGGCTGCTCTCAAATTTCGGCCCTTGAAGCCCTTTTTTCGGCTAAGTTTATGGCATTTTTCACGCTAACTCCCAACGTACACGTGCTAATTACGTCCCCTCTATGCTCACAGGTCCTATTTGACACGAGGAAGCTACTCGTGCCATCCCCGCAGTGCGTCGGGGGCTACTCTCAATTTTTGGCCCTCGAAGCCCTTTTCTTGGCTAAGTTTATGGTGTTTTTCACTCCAACTCCCAACGTACATGTGCTAATTACGTCCCGTCTGTCCCCACAGGCCCCACTGCCATCCCCGCAGTGCGTTTGGTGTACATAAAGGTGCACTATGGAGAAGAATTATTTGCAACAAATATATATTGGATGTGACTAGGTGGCATTGTGCCCATTGCAAACCAGGGTAATATCCTAAGAAAACTGCTTTTCAAAAATCCAAACAAATTTTAATTTTGTTTTACACATTATTCAGTTCAAATTAGTGTTGGTTTTATTTTTACAAATTTATTATTAAGAATCACATATTCATTCTTCACAGTTAGCGTTTTGAAATCAAAGCTCCTTTGCAGTAGTTATATGGCACTCATTATATTGTACTAAATCAAAATTCATTCTAATTTCTCTTTAGTCTTAAATCTCAAATCACATTCAATTGGACTTGGTTACCTTATACAAATCAGAGTACGGTCCTTTCTGTAATGTATCAAAACACCAGGTCGGCTGCTGCAATGTCTACTCACATGATGCCTCATAACCTATTCGAAGCACATCACAAAGAAAATATTTGCATACCAACTTTAGAAGACAATTCTATGAAAATATGATCCATATTTTTTGTACAACTTGCAGTGCCAACCTTTGCCGCTCCTCTTTCTCCTTCAGCAACTCCTCGTGATCACTTTGACGCTGCTCACGAAGAACCTCCAGTTCCACTCTCATTGACTCCATATGTTTATCACGTGCTCGTGCCGCACTAGAGGCTGTGGAAGAGGGTTGTGGGCCTATCCCACATCCACGCAAGTAATTTTTTTTTTCCCCAAGCACTTGCCTTGATATTTCTTCGTGGGTCAATGTCAAGCCCGCATTGGTGGCTGTTAGTTGTAGATTCACCATATCATCCTGTCATGGCAAAAAAACAATAAAGTCAAGATGGGAGAAGGAAGTTAAAACAACTTTATTAATTGATATGCATCACACTTTGTTTCAACATTCAATACTCACATGTAGCTCACCACATTTGGGGTCAATCCAATCTCCCGTCTTCTTAGACTTGTGTGCTTTCTTATAAAATTCGGGGAAATCTATATCCCCATCCTCATTTGCCTGTTATGTTCGGGAAAAATCCATTGACGAATTAGTACATGGTAATATTCACAATCAAGAAGAATTAATCATCCATTACATGTCTAAATTAACTTCTCACCATTAGCGACATTGCTATAGGAAATGATCGCGATCCACTTGTATGATTATAGGGGAGCATACCCCTATTTGCTTTACCAGCCGTAGACCGTTTCTACAAAAATATTAAAAAAGAAAAGAAAAAAGAACATGCTTTATTAAGTTTCAGTGAAGAAGTTCTACATCTATTAGTGAAGAAGTTTTACATATTAACACATAAATTTTAATTTCAATAATGGGCTTTCTAATTAATTTGTTACCAAGTGAGATTCGTCTTTCCAAGCAACATCAATCAAATATTTCCAGTCCTCCAAGCTCACTCCACTAGGTGGATGACTATAGGGGTCATCAACACCCTTTTCCTCAAGTTCGAGGAACTCTTGCTTTAGATTGTACCTCCAATCCTTGTATAGCAAATATGCCTTCCTATCGAGGATCTGTTGAGCTTGTTCATCGTTATCAAAATCATCGCCGATAACAAACTTGTCCTACAAACATAGATACAGAATTAGTTGAACAATTAATTTAACCAATTACAAATTATATAATAAAGACATTATGGCAAGATGAATCTCATACTAGCACCGCTTGGATGACCGCATCTTTGGTACTTTGATCAATTTTTATCCATGACTTCACGCTCTGAAGAGGGCACAATCGTCTAATTTGAAGCCCCAACTCATTCGTCGCTGGGGTTGCATTCCCTCCTGTGATTGCGTTCAACACCCGATTGACGTAGACATGTAATTTCTCCCCTTTTTTCCTAGCAATTTTTTTCTACACGCCTTTGCCTAATGTAGGTCCTCGAACACGAGTTGACCTCGTTTTCCCTAGTACAAAAAGGGAACGTAGCCATCATTATCAAACATTGCTAATGGAGTACAAAAAGGAAATGCTGTATGTAAAGTCCTGTCACTTTTTTTGCTGCCTACTGTTGCTGCCAGTTACTGTTTGCCTGCATAGAATCGGACGTAAATTATGACTACTGTTACTGCCAGCTACTGTTTGGCTGCATACAATCTTGGAAAATTATGCGACAACTTGGATAAAGTCTTGGTAAATTATGCATAAAGTCTTCGTAAATTGTTATGCCTACTGTTGCTACCAACTTGGAAGGTTGTGTACCTAATATTTTATTTCTTCTGTAAGTGTCCTTGTTATGTGTATATTAATGTTTAGTTTTTTTTTCCTTTGTTTTTATTTGCCTTTATGGGGTTTTCATTGCCTTACTTGATGACTTATGCACCCCCCCAAAAAAAAACCAAATTATTTTTAAACAACTAAATAGTATGCTCTTACCCACTCCACCTGGTTGCGTCTCCTCCACCACAGTTTGTGTATCATCTGGTGGTTGCGTCTCATCAAAGAACATCATCGGGGTGCCACTCTCCGGTGGACATGCTTCAGATGTTGATAGTACGTTGCCACTTGTTGCTCTCTTCCGTCGGCCTGTCTTGACTCCCGGAACCATTGTACCTACATTACGTAACAAACATACATGAGTAATAAACATCGCATAAATTAGTAGTGTAATTGCTGCAATAATGACACAACACTGTCTACTCAATAATAAAATGCTCGTTAAGCAATGGTAAACTAAGAGAACATGATGGTGATACACATTACTAAATTTGCGAATCATGACTCACTGCTGGCATTACAAAAATTATGAGCACAGCAATTTCTCCTTTGTTTAAGATGTATTTTATACCTTCAAATCATTGATGTGGTCTCAAAAGTAGTGTTTACCCTTAAACATGTGATACCCATATGACGTGGTATTTTTAAAATATGAAATACTATATATATGATTTATTATTAATAGTTTCCTATTTACATAAAGTTCTAATATAATATAGCCAATAATGAACAATCCCATATCAATTAATCTAGCAATTTCCTTCCTACTCAAACCCATTTATTAAATTAAAATTAAAATTTTTTTATTCTGAAATTTTTAAAAATAGATTTGTAATTATTTTTATTAGGTTCCCATAGCTATACATGTATTTTTTTTTTGTATATTTGCTTATTGTTTAAAAATAATTTTATTAACTAATCAATTACATAAGTTAATAAATATATATTTTTTACTATCTTATAATTTCATATTAGTGGAAATCTCAAGGAACAAAATAATATCAACTCAATCGGAGAGAAAGGATATTATGTCAAGTTACCTGAGGAAGCTGCCCGGCAAGAACACCGAAAAAGCCTGTTGTCCCTACCACCGTAAACAGAAAAGATGCCTGCATGACGGAATGAAATCAAATTCATGGAGAATATAATATTTACGAATTATGATGGTTTACATCTTGCAAAATAAGAAAAGAAAATCAAATGGAAGGCACAGGTGTCATCACATTCTACTCTTCATTCCCCAAAAATACAGAATGAAATTTATGCAATGGAATGTATGCTCTTTTATTGTTACAGGTTAAACAAAACATTTAGTGTAGGGCAACTTACAGCATTTCTAACACTTGGGATTGCAAGGTTCTCCGCGTTTTTAATTCCAAGAGTAGCACCTTCCCAAAACTTCACACTTGTTATGGACACTGACCATACGACGTGATACATATGGTTGAGAACTCCATTTGTCTGCCCAACCAACTTCACAGCATCACTACCTGAAGCTTCCAATAAACAGGAACAGTTTGCTGTTCAGCCATAATGTTTCAGAGCTTTTGACTATTATTTTCTGATAAGAAAAATTTACAGTAACACAAGAGTGAGCCACCTAGAGGGGAAGAACATTATACACTCAACAGTGTTTACCCTATAGGATATACATCAAATGGCATGCACAAATCATGAATTCATGGCACAGCCCCTAGTAACAGTTGAGTAAAATTAATCATGAATTCATGGCAACTTACTTCTTTTACTTTTGTAAAGAGACTAAACTCACATTTTTGCCAGTTCTTCTTCAACAATGAAACCAGAAACTTAACACTCAATTGCACAGTTGGAAAACAGCAACTCCCATGCAGAGAACCTTCTTCAGTTGGAATTTGACTGTCGCTTTAGTCTCATTAACTTTAGACTTGACAGGTTCTTGATGTGTGACAAGGGTAGGAAACTTCCCTGCATTGGAAGAAATGGAACTCGTCAGATACGAGGAATGGTAACTAACAAACCGAGACATAATAAGGAAGAATGAAAAAAAAATAATAAAAAAATTCTAGTTTATATATCAGCAGCCCAAGTAAAGAAACAAATCTTCTTTATAAATTATGTAACTTCATTCTAAAGAAACACATAAATACAACATTCCATAAATCACATCCCAAAACATGCAACTATACAATCACAATACACCCCAAAATCAGGTCATACACCTTTCATTGAGCCTGAATCTGCTCCAGCAGCATTCATAGAGTGTTGTCTTCCTAGTTTTTTTAATGGTTTGTGATCATGTCAAATACGAACAAAAGCAAGAACAAACATGAGCAACATACTCCCCTTACAAATGATCTCATCCAGCATATTGGTTTAAAGTGGGTAATGGGCAGAACACTTTTCTTTGTCTTCATAATTGGCATCCTCTTGGTCCTTTGAAGGAAAGATTTGCAGATAGAGTTATTTATGATGTAGGCTCTCTAGCTTAGGCTAAGGTTGCTTCCATTATAGATGATGGGAGATGGAGATGGCCTGTGTGCCAGACCTGGGAATTAGATGACATTAAGGCTAATGTTCAGGGTAACCCAACTAATATGGAGGATAAAGCTATTTGGCTGGCATCCTCTGATGGGTGCTTCTCTATTCAATCTGTTTCGAATTTGTGGAGAACCCAGCACCCTAAGGTGCAGTGGGCAGCCCTTATTTGGCTCAAGCAATCATTTTCCCAGCCACCATAGCAGATCCTTAAACATGGAGAGTTCAACTAAAATCAAAGCAAAAGTGGGTATGCTCCCACGCTACCAATAAGGGTTCGATTCCCCTCCTGTTTACCTGGTTCAGACTTGGCGGTAGCCTACACCTAGCACAAATTCTCAGTCATTAGCCTTGAAATTTATATTAAATTGTGACTGCAGCCCCGCGCAATTTTGGGACACATCAATCTAATTATCATCCTGTATTAGAGCACCACACATAATTATGCAGCACCATTCACAGACCACTGGTTCTTGACATGAAGGCTGCATTTTCAGCTTTATGTACAGTTCTGGTTTCCTGAGCTATCCTTTGAAGGCTTGTTGACTAGAGCACCACACAGAATTTTACATAATAGTAATAACAATAATTATTATTATACTAATATCTAAGGGAAAACCACTCTCTCACTATTTGTATATGATGTCAATAGATCCTCACACTTAAACCATTTCATTAGAAAATTCATAGATGGGAACAAATGTGATGTTTGCAAAAACACATTTAGTACTTGGTGGGCAACTTAAAAGAAATGGAAGTTTGTAACCCTGCAAACGCAATTATCACAGATTAAACAAGCATGAAGCAATTAGTCTTAAGAACACACGATTTACTATAACTTGTGATTTACCATTGAGATAGTATATGGTTCATAATTTCCATTATGGCTAGTATGTAGTAACAATATAAAGAACTTACATTCTATATAAGGGACCTAGCACCTAAGCATATTAGTGAAGCATGAAGCAGCCAAAGTGGACAAAAACAGCAGTGAACTGTCAAACTCAGCAAACAGAAACAGAGCAGATGTGCAAATCAGCACAGATTGTGGGAAAAGCAGCCAAACAGCACAGGTGTCCGACTGGAAAAACTGAACTGAGTATGAATTTGATCCTCAATTTGCTCTAACAGTTCATACAAAGTGTAGAGGAAATTAAAATTAGAAGGTTCAAATTACATGAAATTCAAGAGTAGGCATGAAATTCAAATTACAATTTCTTCAATATTCTTAATTGCCCTCATGACATCAACAAAACAAGCCAAACAAAGAAACAAACTGAGTTAAAATTCTAGGTCCGTATCTGCATCAAAATCACTTTCCATCTCATGTTCTTCGTCATCACCCGAGATTGTTAGGTCATCGTCGTCATCGCAGATGAAATCATTGTCCATAACACCCTCCGGTTGTACACGCTTATTGGACTGAGAAACTTCCATTGAAATAATTTGCGGTTCAATGTCATCCCGACGTAAAACAACAACATCATCAATAGGCTCAGTTGGTACAACAGTACTATTTTCATCATCTTGCAACAA